TGTGGGAAGTCCTTGACCCCATTCCAGAAGGTTTTTGGTGCCGCCAAACCCAAAGTTCACCTCTGGCGGGTCCTGGACCTTGTCCCTGAAGGTTTCCCAAACCTGGCTGTGGGATATCCTGGACCTTGTTCCTAAAGATTTATGGAATCTCCAACTCCAAAACCATCTCTGGTGGGTTCTTGGTTCTGTTCCCCAGGATTGATGGCGCTGCCAAGCCTAAAATCCATCTGTGGGAAGTCCTTGACCCCATTCCAGAAGGTTTTTGGTGCCACCAACCCCAAACCAGCTCTGGTGGCTCCTAGACCTTGTCCCTAAAGATTTCTGGCGTCTCCAAACCCAAAACCGTCTGTGGTGGCTCCTTGAGCTTATCCCAAAAGATTTATGGAGTCTGCAATTCCAAAACCATTTCGGGGGAGTTCTTGGCTCTGTTCTCGACGATTTCTGGTGCTGCCAAACCCAAAATCCATCTGTGGGGTGTCCTGGACCTTGCCCCGAATCTTTATAGTGCCACCAACCCCAAAAACAGCTCTGGTGGCTCCTTGACCTTGTCCTGAAGGTTTTTGGTGCCACCAAACCCCAAAATCCAGCTGTGGTGGCTCCTTGAGTTTATCCCAAAATGTTTGTGGTGTCACCAATCCCTGACTTGGCTGTGGGGTGTCCCTGACCTTGTCCCTGAAGATTTATGGTGTTACCAATCCCAGAACTTTCAGTGGTGGTTCCTTGAGCTTGTCCCTAAAGGTTTCTGGTGCCACCAATCCCAAACTCACCTGTGGGAAGTCCTTGACCCCATTCCAGAAGATTTTTGCTGCCACCAAATCCAAAACCATCTCTGGTGGGTCCTGGACCTTGTCCCAAAACATTCATGGAGTCTCCAAACCCAAAACCATCTCCGGTGGGTCCTGGACCTTGTCCNGGTGGGTCCTGGACCTTGTCCCAAAACATTCATGGAGTCTCCAAACCCAAAACCATCTCCGGTGGGTTCTCAATTCTGTTCCCAAAGATTTCTGGTGCCGCCTAACCCAAAATCCATCTGTGGAAAGTCCTTGACCCCATTCCAGAAGGTTTTTGGTGCCACCAAACCCAAACCTGGTGGTGGTGGGTCCTTGGATCCTAAAAAATACAGGAAAATTTGGGGTTTCAGGGATTGTGTTGGTGCAGCTGCTCCTCTGCCGGGAATTCCATGGGAAAGACGTTCCCAAGGCTCCAGAAGAGCTGGGATAAAACGGGATCGTTTGTGTGGGATGTGGAGGATGGATCCGTATGTGGACATGGAGAAATCCCATCCCAGCGTCCCAAACCCGTGATGTCCAGAGGGGAACCGGGACTTTTATCCCGGTTTATCCCATATTTTGGTCTTGGATGTGGATCCTGCCCCAGTGCCATTTGAATGAGGAGGATTCAAGAGATTCCCAAAGGGTGTC